CGAGCTCTTTGTTCGCTTGCTGTCATCTGACTGATTCACACTATACTTTGAGCTGTATTTTCAATCACGCCATGATGATGCTACAATCATCTTTACTCAGTATGTGCCCTTGAACCCTTACTCAGTATGAGCTCTTTACCAGAGGCGGACAGTAACTAAGTACATTTACTTGAGTATTGTACTTAAGTACACTTTTTGAGTATCGGTACTTTACTTGAGTATTATTTTTTCTGGAAACTTATGACTATACATTTGAAATTTGAAAGACAAATATTGTACTTTTCACTTCACTACATTTCTATCAAGATCCTCAAAGTCGTTAGCAGCATATTACCTATAAAGCCACAGAAGAACTGTTGTGCGTCTCCTAATAAAACACAAAAGGTGTTTGACTTGAAGTAACACTGCACAGACCATTCTGTGTATGACATCAAAGTACTGCAAGAGCGATCAGACAGCATTTTTTAATTTTTTGTTTTGATGTCAAATAAACCTTGCTGTTTTGATTTTTTGTTAAAGCAGTGTTGCTGTTGTAAAATTATACAGCTAGTGTATTCAGTAGGTGTAATGTATTGTAAGTTGCTTCAAAGGTATTGCAAGTATTACATACAACAATAATAAAACAGTGCATTGACACAAAAAAAGGAAATTTACTTTTGGTACTTGAGTACTTTTAAAAGCAAGTACTTCTGTACTTTTACTTAAGTAAAAATCTGTCTTTACAACTTTTACTTGTAATGGAGTAATATTTGACCAGCAGTATCTGTACTTTCACTCAAGTAATGAAGTTGTGTACTTTGTCCGCCTCTGGTCATGGTATTGAAGGTGGAAGAGAACGCTGGTCATTCACTCCCACCACCTACAATCCCTGCTGGTACAGAGACTCAAACCCATGACCTATGGGTTTAAAAGTCGGACTCTCTAACCATTAGGCCATGACTGCCCCTTAAACATGCAAATCATTCAGTGCTGTGATATATGTGAAAGTACCATGGTATTACCATCTGTTACTACTGTGTTACCGCCACTCGACTTTATGCTAATAACAATATGATTTAAATAAAGATCTTTTTCTTTCTGTCTGTTACTTGTTTGTTTTTTATAGGAAGTTTGCTTTCTCATGTTACCCTGCATACTGTTAGCATATAATGGACATATGATTTTCCGAGAGTAAAGTCTAACTCTTTGTCAGGCACTTACTCCTGGTCGGTGGCAGAGACGAATGGGGCGCTAGTGCAAGGAGGATATGGCCACAGCAGCGTTTATGACAGCTCCTCACATTCCATATATGTCCACGGAGGATACAAAGCCCTTCCTGCCAACAAATACAGCCTAGTGGATCATTTGTACCGCTATCAGGTCCACACACACACCTGGTGAGTATCCATACTGTGTACATGTCATACTCTTTAACTATGAAAAGTTTGTGTGCCTGTGTAACGTTGCGTGACTGTGACTAACCATTTGACTAACCCTTTCAGCCTCTGAATAAGGCCTTGGCACATGTGAGCAGGAATCACATCTTTGCTAAGCCGATGAGTGTACTGACCAAGACTTTCCGACATGTGTGAAATATGATAGCATTTACAAATAAGCTAGTAGTGCCACTATAAATGATGCCAGGTTACTGTTGCCAGGCTGAGTTCTTTGGAGGTTTAATCCAAGAGGAACGATTCCAACATGCCAAACAGGTGTTTTATCTTTTTTTTAATAACCCTGCTGCAAAAAATAGGATAATTCAGCCAAAAATGAATCAATCAATGACATTTTTTGTAATCATTTACTCACCATCATATTGACATTCTTCCTTCTGCAGAACACAAAAGAAAATATTTTGATGAATGTTGGTAACCAAACCATTTTAGCTACCATTGGCTTCTGTTGTATGGAGAAAAACACAGTGACATTTCACAAAATATATTCCTTTATGTTCCACAGAAGAAATAGTCATACAGGTTTGGAATAAAATGAGAGAAAGTAAATGACTGGTTTAAATTTAAAATTACCTTTAAATTACTGGTTTGCTGGTTTTAAAAGCAGCGTAGGTGATTTGCTTCAAAAACATTTTTTTGTTATGCTGGTTGAAAGTTTCTTCACATCCCCATAGCAATCACTAAGTTAATAAGTCTAAATGTATTTATATATATTTACTGTATATTGTCTGTGGAAAGAGTAGGACCATAAAATGTTCGTTCAATCACATCTCTCAGTCCAATGGCTATGATAGGCAGTCCTACCTGCCTATTAATTTGTGCATTTGCATATCTCCGAGCACCCTCTTCGTGCAGACATGACATGTCATCAGCGCATTCCATAACGCTATTGCAGACCGAGCGAGAATGGAAGGCGTTATTATTGTAATATAATGTGCTTTGTAATGTAATGTTTTCTCACCAGTGAATGAGACATGAGATAATTTGACAACATTGCATTCAACCCTCCACCAACTCCATCTCCTATCGTGTCACTGATTAGGTTCTGGTCTGCTGTACGTGTTCATGTGTTTTGGAGGAGGTGTGGCTTTGGAGACTGAAAGCTTGTTTGCTATTGCTAGCCTCTCCGAAATCACCTACCCTACCTTTAACTGGTCTGCCAGCCTGGTCAGACTAGTCTGTTGGCTGGTTTTAGAGTCAATTTGGGTGTTTTTCAACTGGCCGCCCAGCTAAAACAGCTAAACACCAGATTGACAAGGCTGGGAGACCAGATTAAACTAACTAAGAGCAACTTTAACTATCTAAGATCTGTAAACCAGCAAAACACTGGTAAACACAGGTTGTGAGACAAGTTTAATCGAAGTAAAATCAGCTAAGAACCAGTTTAGGCTGGTTTAAGAGCAAGGCTCTTCTGCATCAAATGGAATTACTGTTTTTGGTTACACCATTTTAAAGGTGACATATCATCATAATCTGACTTTTCCAGGTTTTAAGTGCTATAATCAGGTCCCCGGTGCATCTACCAACCAAGGAAACATGAAAAAGATGAACCCAGTAACTTTGTTTTGGTAAGCCTTTTTCTGCAAGCGTCTGAGAAAACGAGCGCGTCTGATTTCGCTCCCTTGGTGACGTTGCAAAGGGATCTCATTATAATATTACCGCCCCTTAATCTGTAAGTTTACACCCACGGCGCCGTTGTTGTGTTTTCGCAAGCGACAACGGTGTACTAGTTCTAATGCTATGGCGAAAGTTTGAGCAAAGCATGCCAACTGTTCTGCCTTTGGCTGCATAGACGAGCACTGAACACTATTTAGAGTCCCAGCCTCAGAGGAGACAAGCAGTGGATTTATTGATTTATTTAATGAATATTGCTGCTGATCGTATATCAGAAGTTTAAACTCATATGGTTTAAAACGCATGATTTCAGCACGATAAACATGATAATCAGAACCGAAACAGATGTTATTTAGCAGGTACGAGCTGTAATGGCACAGCTCTATTCTGGAAAAGGGGGCAGAGAGCAGCAGCTCATTTGCATTTAAAGAGACAGGCCCGAAAAACAGTGTTTCTTTTTCCACTCAAAATAGGCATTTTCAAAATTAGTATTTTGAGCTGAAATTTCACAGACACATTCTGGGGACACCAGAATGATCTGTGGAGTATTTTGAGCTGAAACTTCACAGACACATTCTGGGGACACCAGAGACTTGTATTACATATTGTAAAAAGGGGCATACTATGTCTCCTTTAAAGTGTCCTTGTTATAGTGCAGTTATATATTTAAAGGGGTCCTATTATGCTTTTTCACTTTTTTAATTTTAGTCAGTGTGTAGTGTGTATGTTTGGACATAAAAAAGATCCCTTTTCAAGAACTACAACGAACGGCTCGTTTGGACTACAGCGTTTGTTTTCCGGGCTTTGTGATATCACAAAGCGACTCATTAGAATAGCATTACAAATAATTCCCGCCTACAGAAATTGGAATGGTTGGGGGGTGGGGAGGGGCGAGGTTGTGGTTAGAAAGCTTGGTTGAGTGAGTGCATCAGACGAGACGATGAAGAAGAAGTGCTGCTGCAGACCCAAACGTCTTTGTTTGGGCTTCCGAAAGCGGATGATGTCAGGAAACAGTGGTTGCAATTTATTTTTTAACTCTGTTCCTGAGCATTATAACCCCAATTTGCTATTGTGTGCTGCGCATTTTACTGAGGACAGCTTCCACAACATGAGGGAGTACAGTGCTGGATTTGCCAAAAGCTTTTGTTGAAAGACGGAGCAAGGGGTGTGGCAGTACTGAAACACCATCTAAGCTGTTCGCCAATCACAATGCACTGGGGCAGCTAACCAATCACAACACATTTTGTTTTTCGGAAGGCAGACCTTCATCAAAGCTGGAACTAATCGAGCCGTTTGTGCCAGGCTGGGGAGAAAGGTATTTTAATAATGTAAATTATGTGAAAAATAATGCGTCACCAAGGATAAGAGCATGTTCTAGTACACCCCCAAAACAAAATCAAGACTTTGTAAAAGAGCATAATAGGACCCCTTTAAGAACTGAGTAATATTTTGGAAAGGTGTTAAAGGGATGATAGAGAAGATCCTTGGTTTTAACATTCCACTGTCACCTTTATTCTTTTTATTTTCATTTATATCCTAAGGAGATCAAGTTGAAAAAGAAGGAATATATATTTGTAAATATATGTATTCTTCAAGCAAAACGGCTTATTTCTTTAAATTGGAAAAGTATTTGTGCACCAAATACAAGCGGTTGGCTGAAAGAAAAGTTTGAGTACCTTTCAGATTGTTCTTCAAACATGGTTGAAAGGTGTAAATAGAAGACTAGGAAAAGAGGTGATACTGTATGTTAATGAAAAATACTGAGAATATTTTTTTCTTTCTCTTTTCTCGATGGCTTTTTTGTTCTTGTTTTCTCTGTTACATGGCAATTTATATGTACATGTGTATTGTTAAAATGTAATTTAAAAAGTACTGTGTAATATTAATAACGTACTTACTCTGGGGTTAGGAATAGGGTTTGGTTTAGGGTTGTTTGCATATAAGTATGCACAACTACGTAACATGCACGTACATGTAATGTGTAACAAGGGCACTGTAAAATAAAACATTACCCTGTTTTTTTTTTTGTTTCTAGTTTGAGACATTTCCATTGCTAAGACAAACAGGTAGTCCCATTTAAAATTCCCTTTCCAGCAATGTTCTCAAATCTGGTCCTGTTTGGTCACTCAAACAAATGGATTGTAGCCACTTTTGGTGCTACTAATGGTACAGATATTACACTCTTTACCTTTTAAATCCAAAACTAACTTGAAAATGTCATGCCATTTTTTATTATAAACATAGTGTTTGGCCTACAGTTGAACCCAGTGGTACAACCAATGACTTTATGAATGCTATGGAACACTTTTGAAGCTTAGACAAAGCACAAAGTAGTGGTAGAAGTTAATTTGAGGTTTCTTTCTCGCATTCGTTCCTTTTCACACTCAAAGACAGTTCACTTAAAAGTTGTCGGCTGCACAAAGAAAGCTTTTGTATCCATTTCTCCTAGAATGTCACTGTCTTCTGTGCTTGCAGATGGAAGACATTAAAAAAAGAGAAACATGCCCAGTTTTTTTTTTCTTTTGCCTTTACCGTCTCTTTGCTTGGCCTAGCGGTGAAACCTGTCTCTAAAAGCTCTCTTACCCTTAAACGCAAGGATCTCTCACCTGCACACACACACACACACAAGTCTGACTGTGCGTTCCTCACTCTCTGGCTTTTGATTGGCAAAGTAAGTGAAAGGAGCTGCACAATGCATCAAACAATGCTTCGCTTACAGGGCTCGGGGTGTTTGACAGAGTGTAGAGAGGAGTGCTGAGTGGATGCAGAGTGACAGAGTGCTTATTCTCACACATACAAACACAATGAGGTCGAAGCAGAGACGACACATGAAATGGAAAGAGAAAGGGAGAAGTGGTGAAAGAATTTAGGAACCCATTGTGCCTTTTTGAAGTTAGAACTTTAGAGAACAGTTTAAAGGAGACATATTATGCCCCTTTTTACAATATGTAATATAAGTCTCTGGTGTCCCCAGAATGTGTCTGTGAAGTTTCAGCTCAAAATACTCCACAGATCATTTATTATATCATTTTGAAAATGCCTATTTTGAGTAGAAGCAGAAACACGCTGTTTTTCGGGCCTGTTTCTTTAAATGCAAATGAGCTGCTGCTCCCCGCCCCCTTTTCCAGAATAGAGCTGTGCCATTACAGCTCAGACCTGCTAAAAACATCTGTTTTGGTTCTGATTATCATGTTTATCGCGCTGAAATCATGCGTTTTAAACCATATTAGCTTAAACTTCTGATATACGTTTTCTGAGCATACACAACCGAAGCACACGGACAGAAAGTGGCTGTCACAGCATGCGAGTACTAAACTAAGTTCTCATATACTAGTCGACTTCAATGCTCTGCCATGACGCTTTAATTTAGATCTGTGTAGCAGCAGCAATATACATTAAATAAATCAATAAATCCACTGCTCTCTTGTCTCCTCTGAGGCTGGGACTGTAAATAGTGTTCTGTGCTTGTCTGCAGCCAAAGGCAGAACAGTTAGCATGTTTTGCTCAAACTTTCGCCATGGCATTACACCGTTGTCGCTTGCGAAATCAAAATGATGGTGCCATGGGTGGAAACTTACAGATTATGGGGCGGTAATATTATAATGAGATCCCTTTGCCACATCACCAAGGGAGTCAAATCAGACGCTTGCAGAAAAAGGCATGATTCACAAATGAAGAACGTTTATGAGCTGGTTGTTTTTAGAGGATCAGAAACATATAACATGAGCTGTGTAGTCTGATTCTGGAACGAATGACGCTTTTTAGTGAATCAAAAACATACAATATATCCCTGTGCAGTCTGATTCATAAACAAATGACTCTTAAGAGCTGGTTCTTTTTAGTAAATCAAAATTATACAGCAAGGCCTGTTTAGTCTGAATAATGAGTGAACATTATTCCTGGTTGGAATTATTATTCCTTCCCTTTCAGAGCTCTCGCAGCGGCGGCCCGAGTATGATTTCCGGTCAGGGAACACTGTTTGTGGGGCAGTCATGGCCTAATGGTTAGAGAGTCAGACTTGTAACCCACTTGTAACCCAGACTTGTAACATTTAACCCAAATGTCACGGGTTCGAGTCTCGGTACCGGCAGGGATTGTAGGTGGGAGGAGTGAATAACCAGCACTCTGTTCCATCCTCAATACCATGACTGAGGTGAGACCTTTGAGCAAGGAACCGAACCCCTAACTGCTCCCTGGGTGCTGCAGGTGTGTGTTCACAGTGTGTGTGTGTGTGTGTGTGTGTGTGTGTTCACTACTCACTGCTGTGTGTGTGCACTTGGATGGGTTAAATGCAGAGCACATTCTGTCTACACATCACTTTCAATTTCAGCGGGTTGTTTTTAGAAGATTAAAAGAATCACCATGACAAGTGTAGTCCGATTCTTGAACACATATAATTTTTTAATGAATCAAAAACATATAGTACGAACAGTGTAGTCTGATTTAAGAATGGATGATTCTTAGGAGCCCTTTTTTATTGAATCAAAACCATACAGTGCAGCCCGTTTAGTCAGATTCACAAATAAATAACTTTTATGAGCTGGTTCTTTTTAGAGGATCAAAAACATTCAGCGTGACCAGAGTAGTCCGATTCCTAACCGAATAGCTATTTTTAGTTAATTAAAAAATTAAACATGCTCCCTATCCGTAATGCTGAATCCCTGACAATTTTCAAGCGACAGCTGAAAACTAATCTCTTTTGACGCTACTTTACTTCATCCTAAAAAAAAAAAAACTTTGTCTTTCTCTTAATTTATTCCTTCCCTTTCTAGCTTGTATTTATTTGAACAATGCCTAAAACTTGGTATCACAAGCACTTCCTGTGTCAGTTGGCCTCTTTAAGAAGAATTGCTTTATGCATTCCCCAATTGTAAGGCGCTTTGGATAAAAGCATCTGCAAAATGACTAAATGTAAACGTAAAAACAGTTACTAAAATAATCAGAATTTCTTACTGTTCAGTTATTATTGTATTAATGTCTGCCTTGAAACAAACCAATAACTGTTACTATGTTATGCTGTACTTTAAGCCTGTGAGACTTAAATCAATGTAAAAACTGTCTGGTTCTTCATGTGAAAAAATTAGTTTTGTGAGTTTGTGATTGTGTGTGTGCTTGCTTATGCATACATGTGTGTGTTTCTGTGTGTGGGTAGATGTCTCTGTTGTGCCATATTACTGATGGCGTCCGTCTGCGTATCTGACCTAGCCTGTGGAGAGTGACCTTCAGACCAACTGTTCCATCCCATAAGCTAAACTCTCACACACACGCTGCATTACAATGGCCAATGAGATGTGTGTTTGCCTCTCCCTAGGTTTATTCTGAAGGAAAGCGGCCTGGCAAGATACCTCCACTCCGCTGTGCTGATCAGTGGAGTTCTGCTGGTGTTCGGGGGAAACACTCATAATGACACCTCACTCAGTAATGGGGCCAAATGCTTCTCCTCTGACTTCCTGTCCTATGACATCGGTATGGACTACCTGTGACCTCCTTTCTCTGATTACACTAGCACTTCCTTAAAGGTGAAGTGTGGAATTGCAATAAAAATTCCCAGTCGTGATTTTCGGAAAAATAATAATAGTGCCATTGTTAGGAATTTTTTTTGCACATCACATTTAATTAAGCTTTATAACATACACTACCACCACACATTGGATTCATTAACCATATACGCTGTGATTTATGATTCTTGAATAAGAATGGATCCAGTGACGTATTATGAGAAACAGAATGCATGCACACTCAGCAGTACCGTTACTGTAAATTGTTTCGTTCAAGCTGCTGCAGTTTGATATTACTGACAGTTCATTATAGAAAGCTGATAAGCCAGTGGAGATCTACCGGAATGCACAGTTGAGTCATAATGGAATTTCCCAGAATATTGCTGACATATGCTTGCGAGACTCATACGGGATGCAGTGACTGCATGTGCGGTGTCTGTAATCAGATCTTTGGTGGTACCCTCATGGAAGACCTCCCAGTGCAGAACCTTTAAATAGTCCACATACCACCTTGTCAGTGCTCTCACTTTTTCGCTTTTTGGAAGTGAGTGTCTGTGGCTCTGTTCCAAAACCTAGGGAACTGCCTATGTAGTCAGGATTTTAAGGCATCATATGCTGAAGACATGAAGCCAGTTCGAATGATATAATTTAGCTTCTTCGATTCCTTTATTGGTCGAATTCTAAGATCAATTCCAGAAAAGACGGAGTGCAAAGTGAACACAATGTCAATTATGTCCCAAATACAGCACACTGTTTTTGAAACCTAAATGCCAACCTAGGCTCATTGGGAAAATGTTCCTCTGTCTACATTTTTGTAAAACTCCAAAAATTACCTATACATACAATTCACTGCAGCTTCCAAATGAAATGAACACTAGTGGTAGTACAACACAAACAACTTTCACACACATTTTAATTACAGGGGCAGATTATTTATTAATAAAGACTTATTTTGCGTGGTTCTTTGCACAGTACTATGTTGTGATCTTTAAACACTTTTACCATAGTGCATGATTTGTTAACTGATACATTTTGACGTTGGCATTACATAACCAGCTCCATATGTACAGCTTTTCTGATGCAGTAAACTTGCTCAGTAGCTCACCTGGTACAGCACTGCACTTGAAATGTGAGCCACAATAAAAGAGATAAACTTGTAGAAACAAGCTGAAATGGCATGGTTGCTTCAGCAAATGTGTTTGTTCTCATGTTTGCTTTTGCTAACACTATCAGCTAAGTTTAATGTAGGTGGTATATTAATCTTCATCAACATAGACAATTTAACTTTTACCGCCACTCACTAGACATTTTATTTTTGAACTTCCGTAATACGTACAACAACCAATGTAATAAAACTTTTCCACAGTCATGTTCATCCGTTTCAGATAAAATTGAACATGCTTTAAGTGCCACTCACTAGACATTTCACTTCGAAAGTGTCACAAAACATGCAAGAAGCAACATAATATAATTTTGCAGAAATTTAGCATCTCATCAGTTTCCTTAGTGTTGCCACCTTGTGGACTAACTAATTAGCAGAAAAAATCAAGGTGCATGTGCAAGCTGAGCGTAGAGAGTATACACGGTTAGAAAAATCAGGCTGTGCACATACTATGCTGTTGCATGAAAAAGAGAGTATACTTTGGGCAGTTAGAAGGGAGCTGCCTATGTAGGCTGCATACAGTACAGCAAGGCGGCTCGCTAGGTTTTGGCACAGCGTGTGAGTGTGTTGCTGCAGTCATGCAGATCATTTGTAAATCTGTAAGCACACATGCAGCTGAGGGGCTGTTAACGTAGGTTTACAGATAGCCTCAGTATGACCTTTCTTAAGGCAGGACCTCTGTGATGGATTGCTTCTGAAACCTTTGACCTCTGTGGTATAATGTCTGGCCATAGGCATCTGTCTGAAGGTATCTGGTGGTATGCAGTCATTTCTTCACTCATTGGGTGGTGCTGTGTTCCAGAGCTTTAAAAAAAACAAACAAACAAAAAACCCTATGAAATGATTTTTGCTTGCGGACTTTTCAAGTTCACAAAACTTTCTTCTGCAGAGTCAGGCACTGTAAACGTTGACAACACTTTAAATAATAATTTATAATAGGCTGATATGGATAACAAAGAGTGCACGGCATGTTTTACATTGCACTTACCTTGAAATATTAAACACCAAAGGCAATTAACACACAACTTATTTCAGCCATTTTCTGCAAGACAACAATGAATTTTACGACTGTTGTTTGATATTCTCTACAACTTACGTTGCCCCGGTGGAGCTCGATGTACACGCTATAGGCCACACTATGGCCTTTGGCAACTTTGGCTAATGTGGGTTTTTGAATGGTGGACATTTAAAAGGAATATCAGTGAATGATTTAAAGTGTTCCTTTCAGTGCTGACAGTAATATTTAGCCATCATTGAATCCTCATAAAAAGCAGTGAATGCCAGCAGGCCAGATGGTGTCTGTTATTTTATGAATATATTTTACAGTACCTTAGACAAGGAGGTTGTGGAGCCAGGGGAGGGTGAGAGAAAGGATGAGAACAAGTAAGAGATTGCGCTCGTTCTTAGAGAATTCCTCCCACAGTCTTTCATACTTCAGTAACAGTAGACTGGCAACTATCACTTCCACCTGGCGCCACTCTACTGCAGTATGTTTGCGCAGTATTTTGCAGCTCAAGTGGATTGTGCTGGCTGTGTTCTGGTCTTAGGGAGTGGTCTTTTTTGGCTTGAGTCTTAAGTTGGCTCTGTGTGCTCAAGCCACTTTGTCTGATTGCACAAGTTCGCTTGGACAGCCTTGACTGACTTTACACATACTGGTCTGTCCACATATCCATCACTACCACTAAAGCACTGGCCTAAAATCTGCTCCACTCACTTAAATCATTAAAGTAGCAGATTAGGCCATTTTCTGTTCTCCACCAGGCTTCCTGGAATTGCTCATAACTGTTGGTCTTCTGGTCTTCCTGCTGATGATACAGAGGGCGAGCGACCTTTCCAACCTGCTGCAGTGTTATGGAACACACTGAAATTATGTCAAGAACTATTTTCTTGACTTTATACAGTGTAAAATGCTGTTTGTATTTAAATGACTGTTTATTGGACTGATTATGTTTGCATTGAGTGCAGTGATTTTTCTTTTTGAATTGCACTTCTATGTAAACCGGCTTTTTACTGCAGCTGGTACTTTTCTAAATTCTTTATTTATTTAAGGTTGAAATGACTTAAAAAACCTGTGGAAACCAATTACCTCAAACTTTGCAAGCAAAGTAGTTCATCACATTTGTGCTGTAGCTTACTACAACTTTGTATAATGATTATAGGTTATGATTATAGATTTTATTTGACATAAAACTGAATGGGAGTCCAAAAAGCTGATAGAGCTTGAATGGCCTTAGGGAGGAAATTTTCTTTTTTTTGGTGAACTATTCATTTAGGTATTGGTAACTCAATTTCATTAATTAAGATAAGATTAATATAACACAGTACACAGAACTTAACAAAACTGTTTAAAACCTGTAAAATACAAGATATTTTTGGGGCAACACTAGGCCATTTATATGTTTCCTAAAATATATTTGTTCCATAAAACTTAAAGAAAATAAACATATAAATAAATAAATAAGAACTTTAAGTTTTTATTACTTTTAAAGTGTGTTGTCAAATCAAAACAAACTTTTAAAAACAGTAAAGTAAAACTGCAATAAAAGAGTGCATATGATGCCAACCCAGGAAATCAAATTCAAAGTCTTCTGTCCCTTAGGCTGTAAAGAAGCAGTTTTGTAATATTCAGGTTTAAGATTTGGCTGGCCACACCATAAATATATCACGGTGATCAAGTGAAATGCAAGACATTAAATAAGTTGTTAATAAGTTTGTTCTGGTTAACGTCTTAAAGTCAAAACATCATTTTCTCTTCAGTTTTGTACTATTGTTTCTATTGCTATGAACTCAGTGGCGTCTTGGGTGAAAGCCATACCATCTTAGGTCTTTGGTCACAACTGTTCACTGGGTGTTTTCAGCATTAATCAAGTCATATTCTGACATCCTCATTAATAAACAAGACTGAAATGTTGTCATGTAATCCCTTATGCTAATGTCTGAAATGTTGTCAATATTCAGGCTGACTTTGTCATATATCCAAAATAACCTTTCATGTTGGCTACAACTCAATTTGCATATTATCCTAAACAGTATTAAATGAAGAATAATGCTTGCCAAATAATAGTATGTGGAATGTAGTATAACATTTTGAGTCCGTTTTTTCATAATTTAGCTTGATGCATGACATGCAAACAAACACAGTGTGATAAGATGGTCAATGCTACAGGTGGTATAGTATTGACCAGTATGTACTACACACTATAAAGTATGCAGTGCTTTCCCATCACCTGCAACATGCTTTTGTATATTTATATACTTTTAGTCTGTAGAATGTGAATTGGGCCTTAATTTTCTCTTCTTTCATTTGCGTTAATGAGCTTTTTAATGTTATTTAATTGCCACTTGTGTGGCAAGTTCCCTGTCCTGTCCTCAACCATGCTCACCTCTTTTTGCTCAAGAGCACACTCCATCTCTCCATTGATTTCTCTTTCTTTTTTTTAATTTTTACTCTGCCTCAACGTTTGAGGAGAGAGAAGGGACATTATTAGCTCTTTTTTATGCAGTTTTTCTCACAATGAGGGACTGAATTCAGAATGACACAGAAAGCAGTTTTCATTTGAGTACCCTCTTGCAATGTCTTCCCCCACTCTCGTACCTCTAATTAGATTCAGGGAAAATGAACCCTAATTAAAATTGTAGCGCACTGGCTGAGAGGCATTGTGAAGCGTGTGTTTTTTTTTTCTTTTTTTTCCCCAGCACAGACCTTTTGTTTTAATACAACCAACAGACTAGGTAGCAGATTGCCTCGGCACAAAAACATATTTTATTAGGCTTGCAATTAAAATGGGTTTGATTTCCTTCCTACTGCATCTCCTGTTCTCTACCTCTGCTCTATCTGCTCCTGTCATCCAGTGTTTCTTCGCTCTGTTTCTTTGTCTCCTGTACATTAGCGATGGGAGTTGGGCCAATATCCTGTGAGGAAATGAAATCTAGGCAGAGCCAACGATGACTATCAGGAGCGGTTTTACCATTTGAGAGAATATGAGTGTCATCTTTAGATCTGTAGAGGTTTGGACCAGATTTATTGAAGAATTGAATTATTCCAGCCAGAAAACTGTGGGGTGGCCTACAGTGTTTGACTAAACTGTGATGGGACGAAAACAGTGGCTGCGTCCGAAAGCTTAGGCAGCTGACTTATTGCCTCGCTGCCCTATGATGCAATGACCGTGCAGGCAGCATTTGTGCATGAAGGTACTTCCTGAAACTGATTTCGGACAAACCTCTGAAGCAGCATAATAATTCAGTGATCTGCAACAAAACAGAGTTTTGGTGATAACTAAACGAACATTTATTTATACACTGCTACTTAATTTTGCTACAAATGACAACAAAAGTGGAAAAAGTTGGTCAAAACTTTCCAAAACAACCAAACGCAGCTTTCAAATGCCATCTTTATTTTTTAGCTCAACTGTCATGGATTTGAATGTGCAGAATAGTGCAATATCATAGGATACAGTGAAGGATACAGTACATCTCTTCTGCCTTCAAAAATCAATCAGATGTAGTCATCTCAGGAGACAGGATGTGACACGATCATTGGATTCAGACTACTTTGTTGCCTACCTCCGTATGCATCTAGCTTTCAGATGCAGCCAGTGTAAAAGTGACTTACATTGTAGTTTATGCATTCCCTGGGACAGTTTGGAAATGTGATGCAGAAGTCACTTATAAAAAGCTTTAACAGATAATCAGGACAAAGAAGAAAGTTTGAAGATATTTCTAAGCTACGTCAGTTGTTGCTTAATAAGAATAGGGTAGTATTTCAATTCAGTTTACACTCTTAACACTGATTCACACCTTTGTAAGTTGTTCACATGCAGCTTCCACTGCAATTTATAGGCTGCATGATGTCAAGGTGTATGATACGGTTAAATGCCAGAGTGTTCCATCACATTACAACTGATTAATCCACATATGGCAAACAATGAATGAAGTCTTCCTGACATTCCAGGACAATGTTTTCTTTATCAGATCATGTCAATTCATGTCATGGCCAGCGTCCATTAACTTCTGCTGTAAAACCACCACGAAGAAGGGTGTCGCAGGAGGTCTGAAATTTGCTAAATCCACGTTGCGTGGCCATTTGGTCTGTTTTCTGAGATAAAATTTTGTGCGTGTGTTTGTGTGATCTTAGTTAAACTGCAGCTCGATCAGTACTGCACTCAATAGAGCTGTTTGCAACCTGGCCACACTTTCTCAGCTCCCTGTTTGTCTGAGATTTCTGAGGGGTAAATGTCAAATTTACATAGTAATGCCGTGGCAGTCTGTGTTGACTAAGAAAGTGTGTGATGGCTTTTGAATCTCTTTATCTGATGCTAGTCAGTTCAGTTTGGACTCTGGGCACCTGAAGACTGACGTGATCAGTAAGATTTTAAAGAAATGTTTACTTCTATTCAGCAAGAGGACATTTATAATGTTACAAAATATTTCTAATCAAAGAACCCTGAAAAAAAAAGAATCATGGTTTCCAAATAAATATTAAGCAGCACAAGTGTTTTCAGCATTAATAATAATAAGAAATGTTTCTTGAGCACCAAATCAGCATATTACACACATTTCTGGCAGCTAAAAATTCAGCTTTGCCATCACAGGAATAAATTCCATTAAAAGAATGTGATTTTAAATTGTAATAGTATTTTACATTGTTGTTTTTATATGCAATATAAAAGCAATTTGCTAAGCATAAGAGACTTATTTCAAAAACATTTAAATATTTTACCTACAGTTAATTTTTGGATGGTAGTTTTAGTGTGTATGTATTTCTTTTTTGTTGTAGTGACAGAGTAAAAATGGGGTGAAATGTAAAATGTTCTTTTGACATCAGCAGCTCTGAATATCTAAGACAAGGTCTTCAATATTCAGTGGTTTATTTTTCTTGTTTGCAGCCATAAAGACATCTTTGTTCGCTATCACTAGACAGAACTGCAATATGTTGTTGTGTTGGGGTATCTATGTGATGTAGTGCTGTGCTTGAGCGCATGTAATGTGTGGCGTTAATCTCTGGTGCTGTCATTAGTCGTGCTGTAGGGAGGCTGTGAGATGTGACAGTTGTTTCTCTCTCTGTTTCTCACTTCTTCCCGTGATCTGTATATTGTTGTTTTCTTATATAAGAATCACATATTACAAAACATCTGTGCACAAGGGGTTGTTAACAGTGTGTATATATACTGTATGTTTTCTTGACACATCTGTGCATATGTATTGTGTATATGCACATTAATGCATTTATTAGGAAAAAGCTTGTAGAATGTACAGAGAGTCTTTGGTTTTCTCTCCTTGCTGATTAACTGACCATGAGAGCAGCTAATTACTGAATTAAAGAGCGTGTAACGAGCTGAGAGTGTGTCCGATCTGGCAGCCTGGGAGAAACATATGCTAAAGAGCTCATGTAACCTGGACAAACACGTACAACTCAAAACAGTCTGTGTCAGTAAAAAGGTTTGGTTTACATAGAGTATGGTGTACACTGCTGCTATGGCTTTCACTCCTGATGATTACAATATTTCTGCACTGATATTATTATTCTGGCTGATATAGATAAGCTGCATTGTCTAAAAAAAAAAAATCAATCAGTTAATTTAAATCCTACAAGTGTGTTTAGACATCAGAACATTATAATGTACAGTATAAAATTGTCATTTTAATGTTGTTATTGAATTCTTAGTTTTTGTAGAGATTAAAGTGGTGTTAGATGATGGCAAAGGTAATCAAAATATTTGCTTTTTTATAATTAATACTTTTATTCAGCAAGGATGCATTACATTGATCAAAAGTGACAGTAAAAACATTTATAATGTTACAAAAAATAATTTAAAATATATAATTTGAACTTTTTATTCATCAAAGAATCCTGAGAAAATTATATCACGGTTTCCACCAATGGCTGCTGAAAATTCAGCGTTGCCACCACAGGAATAAATTATATTTTAAAATATAAAACAGTTGTTTTAAATTGTAAATCAAGTTGATGTTGAGGTAACGTTTTATAATGGTATTATAATGCTCTCTGTTGATCCAATAGCATGCTATTTTCAATTTTGCTTTTCTTTTACTTTATTTGCATGTGTGCTTTGCAGCATGTGATGAGTGGACAGTTCTTCCGAATCCCAATCTTCATCGTGATGTCAACCGTTTTGGACACACAGCAGTTGTCAGCAATGGGTAAGTTCTTAATGTGGTCTCTTTCCATGTGTTGATACCATCAGTATATGTACTCTTCCTGTACCCAGGTTACTTTTTTCCACTGAAATTCATTTAGTTAAGCAACTCATCTTGTGTCGGAAAAAAAAGTTCACTTGAATTTGTGGCTTTATCCTCTCATTTCCTTTGGAAAGATGTTTTGGCAAGACAAACAGTTTAAAATACAAACAGAAAAGGTCTGTGTTTTCTCTTACCCTCAGCTCAATGTACGTTTTTGGTGATTTCTCTGGTGTGATCCTGAACGATATGTTTGTGTATAAGCCTGCCAACTGTGAGGCCTTCCTCGAGGTGGATCTTCGTCAGAGCTCTGGTCCTGGTGTTCGCTGTGTCTGGATTGAGGAACGCTGTGTACCCTGGGACTCCAGCCATGCTAATGACAGTGTGCCTGCCTCTTTCTGTCCTGCACGCACCTGTAAGAACCTATCATTTTAAAAGCTTATGTTCAAACCCCGGCTACACACACAGAATTACTTTTATGGTCAATTATGGAGGTATTGTGACCTGTTTTAGAGGCATGTTTCATCATATATTCACATTAAATTTATTTCTAATTCGAAGGAGTCCGTGAAAGTGGGTCTTGCTTCACCCTGAAGGGGTTTATTTTGTGGTTGACTAAATTATTCCACCTACTACAAGGCTATTTAACATAAATATATGTATAAATGGATATGTAATATTGATCACAGCATTGTAAGAAACCAGTTGCCTAGAATGGCAGGACTAAAGTTAAGCAGTTTAGTCTTTATACATTATATACAAAAGTCATTACACAAAAATATTTAACCACAGAATGGTAAGATTGACCAATCTGTATCAAGTATTCCAATGGGCCGTATAATAAGATAAATGAGGTGTCAGAATATACTCTACTGTTTATAAGCTTTTTTTTTTTGTTTGAAAGTAATTAATATCTTTCCTCGCCAAGGATGCATTAAATTGATCAAAAGTGACCGTAGACATTTTTAACAATACGAAATGTTTGATTTATTTTTTTTACACTTTCTATTCATCAAAAAATCATGAAAAATCTTGTGTATCCTTTCGACAGAAATATTTAGCAGCACAACTGTTTATAACATTGATAATAGGAAACGTTTTTTGAGCAACTAATCAGCATAGAAAAATATGCTAGCATAGAAAACATTTGTTTTAAATTCTAAGAATATTTCAAAACATTACTGTTTTAAATGTTTAAATGTATTTTTGATCAAATAAATGCAGCCTTGGTGAGCATACGAGACTTGTTTTAAAAACATTTTTAAAAATCTGACGCCAAACTTTTGAACAGTAGTGTGATTTATTTTAATGAAAAATCTGTGATCTTTATAAATGTTTACACATCCTTTCAACTTGTGGGAATATCTATACACCTGGTTTACAATCGCACATCACCATCCCAGTGGGGTGAAATTCACTGTACATCTCATTCAATTGTGTTAGACCGTTAGTCAAACGCACACCTGGAGTAAATCCTCTGTCAGGAGATTATTGTTAAGCCACATATAATCCTATTTACACTTGATACATTGGGAGGCTTATATGCAGAGCCACTCTCATGTTCTGCTTTACCTTGATGGCATTCAGCCTGTTTTCCACTGGGTAAACCCTGCCTGACTGTGAAAATGCCCGTTGATTATTGACTGAACAAAAGGTCAGTTGGCACATAATAATCTCATAGTGATGTAATTATGATGGCAATGACACCAAACTCCAGCGATTGTGGATACAGATGTTTTTGTCTGTGGGCAAAACTGGACCTGAGAGGATTACTGCAATTACCACGTGGAGTTTGGAGTGCTATCAGAGGTGGATTGGACTTTAATTAAATAATGGATTGACACACAAGTTCATGATGGATTGTTCTGTAATGTGTGTATCTCAGAGACCTGTAATTGTGCAGTTTATCATTGTATGTGGGCACTGTTTGGGTGGTTGCTCCCTGTATACTGTACATTATAGTATCTGGACTTCATGCTGTACTTTACTATGCACTATGTTCCTGATATTATTATGTATTGTGTATACACTCACACACTACCATTCAGAAGTCTGAGGTTAAGGCAAAATATTGCAAAACAATAATATTGTGAAATTTTTTAAATTTTTTTTTTTACAATTGAAAATAACTGTTTTCTATTTAAATACACAGTATATAAACATTCACATCAAAATAAATGTTTATAAATATATCAGTTAAGTCATAGTAAATAGTAAGACGAGTGTGAAGAATCTTTGTTACTCGTATTTGTTTTCTCCCATTCTTCGTGTTCATTTTTGTCCTGGATTTTCTCGTTGTTTATTCTTTGAAACTGTTCCAGACAAAAGCCAGTTCCTGTGTGACCTCTCTTTCCCAGAAATAATGATGAAAACAAACCAACAAACAGAAAACATCCTTCCAAAAATTGAAGAACAGGAACAACCGTACTTATGTGTTATGATGGTTATTCATGGTCTGAAATAAACAAATTCACAGTCAGTACAAAAGTTTCTTCTCTGTCCTTGGCTCTTCCCCTCGATTCTGCGGTTTTAATTTTGCTGTGCCCTGCCCTATCCATGTCCACCTCCGTCAACTACTCCAGTCTTCAGTGTCACACGATCCTTCAGAAATCATTCTAATATGCTGAATTGATGTTCAAGAAACATTTATTATTATTAGAGCTGAAAACAGTTTGTGTGCTGCTTAATATTTTTTGTAGAAACAGTGATACATTTTTTAAGTTCATGGTCTGAAATAAACAAATTCACAGTCAGTACAAAAGTTTCTTCTCTGTCCTTGGCTCTTCCCCTCGATTCTGCGGTTTTAATTTTGCTGTGCCCTGCCCTATCCATGTCCACCTCCGCTGTTCAACTTTAGTCCTTACCTATGTGTCATTGCACACTCATTTTTCACCACAGTTGTGAAGTGTTACACCTTGAGAGCTCTGAGTCAAGACCCTCGCTACCTCCGACCTCCAATTTTTGTTTTATGCTAATAAGTAGATATTTTCCTTGTCTCTTGATGATTCTTGTTTTTTTAACCATAGATTCAGCTGATAAGCAGTGTAAGCAGTTTTCAGACTGTGTTTCCTGTACGGCCAACAGCAATGACTGCCAATGGTGCGAAGACAAGAAATGCATCTCTTCTTCAAGCAACTGCACTGTGGTATGTCCAAATTGAGACACTGCAGTTAAAAAGATTTAAAAGCATTTATAGCAATTAAAATATGCTCTGTCATGCTTTGTCTGCGTGTAGCTTACAATTGATCTTGCCCGCCACCCTCGAGGTCCCTTGCACCTCAACCCTCCCCCTGCAATGCTTTCTGAGCAGCAGCTCTCTATTTGGAGACCTGGTGTGTGCAAAAACGGCCAGGTATGCAGCAACAGAGCTTATAAAATGATTGATCGATTGATTGGCTTAGAGAATTTTCATCTGTAACCTCTTGATTTCTCTTGTTTCTTCCTCATATAAATGTTCTAGAGGGTTTCCATGGATTTCTTCTTTAAAATTTAACACAATGTTGTACGGTAATTGTTCTTGGCACATTAAAATATAGAACCAGAAGTTATCTTATTTCCATCTTCTTGTTTTTCAGTCTGTGAAGAACTTTACCAAATGCAGTGTTCGAAGTGAGCAGGTTTGCAGCAAACTGGTGAACTGCAGGAGTTGCTTGCTTAACATCAACTGTCAGTGGGAACCACAACAGCAGGAA